TGCGCCATTGACTGCCCTGCTGTAGTCTATACGTCTACTTAACTAACATGCGCACCCGAAGAGATAAACAACCGCTGCTCTCTCCACATCCCTCTCCATACATCTCTGTCCCTTCCCCTTTCCAGAACCGTCTCATCCGCCACCTTCTCTCTCTCGCTTTGCGTCACTTTCTATCAGTTTATCTCTTTCCCTTTCTCTTAAATATCCATCCATCTCTTGTTCTATCACAAGGCCACGGTATCCTCCATTCATCATAGAAACAGCGCTGTCTGAGGGCATCTATCTGCTGTGCGCGTTGAGACGAGTGACAAATCAAATGTTCATATATTGAGCCAAAGCGGAGACATAATAAGGGGGGAGGAGACGGATGTGAGAAATCGTTAAACTCCATATGGCGGCTGTGGGAACGCAAGTCCCACCTATCTGTTAAAAGAGGGAATTGCCTTTTTGATAAACTCGTCACAACTTTCAGTACTGAGGATGTAGGACTAGTCCTGGCCTTCACTAGAAAAATAAGTGACGTCATATTTTGTAAAAATAAAGACATTTAAGCATAAATAAATAAAATAGTAATGACAAAATGAAACCATTTTATAAAAGTATAAACATTTTAATTATTATAACAAATTTAGGAAATGTCTCTCTCTCTCTCTCTATATATATATATGTATGTGTGTGTGTATTTAAACTTAACATAATTATTATTAAAAATATCCTTCATTATTAATGTGTAAATTGTGGTTTTAAAGATGAAATATTTTAGTCCTGATCTTCAGTACATACTATCCTGAGCTGTGATGGAAAAGAGAGCATAGCGAGCCAATAGTTTGGTATTTTTTGTTTTGTTTTTGAAAGAAGTCTCTTACCAAGATTGCATTTATTTGTGAAATACTATTACAATTTAAAATACCTGTTTTCTATTTGAATATAAAATGTAATTTACTCCTGTGATGGCAAAGCTGAATGTTTTAGCAGCTATTATTCCAGGCTTCAGTGTCACACTATCTTACAAAAATCATTCTAATAATTAACTCTAACAGCCAATATGGCTGATAAGTGGCACAATTTGCCTTAAAATGGACTTTGGTCAAAGATATAGTATGTATCTGACAGGAAATGCAGCAAGACGGTATGTGTACCTGTTTATAGCCCTTTTAGCAGAATCAGACGTAATTGTGTTCCTCTGTTTTCACACCACAATAACCCACTCGTCCTCCCTCTCTCCATCTTTTTAGTCTTGACAGCCAGTGCACAAGACCATCCATCCATCTCCCCCTCTCACTCCGGCTTTCTCTGGGAGAGCGACAGAGCGCAGAGCTGTTCATCCTGTTTGTAGAGTTGACCCGCTGCAACCCTCTATTCAATAAAAGAGACAAGAGTGATGGAGAGAGAGACGGAGGACTGGTGATTGGCCATTTGTGCTCTCGTATCTATCGATCAACAGATGTCGTATTGATCTCACAGTATAGCCACAAATTGCACACTTGATTGCAAATTGGATGCATAGACTGAGGTTAAAATAAATAAGTACAGACTTGCAAGCAAAAAAAGGAATTGTGACATTAAGTAACTGTGCTGGATGTCTCAGCAAAGTGGATCATAACTGAATGGGTTCAGAAACCTTGAGCAAGGTTCTCATAATGCCAGAACTGAACCATCAATACACAAACAAATGCTTCATTCCACACACCCAAGGACGACGCACACACACACAGTTTTATGAGCTTACCTGCACAAACGACGGCACACATCTTTATAAGCACACCCTTCATGCCACACAAACACAAAGCTATACAAAAACAAACAAACACAAAACGCACACATTCCACCCACAGGGGATTATACGGGTATCTAATATACGTAAGAGCTCGTTAAACAGAGCAGAGAGAGCATTAGAATTTTAAGAGGCTTTGAGAAGAAAAAAAACTCAATTAGAAGCATATCAGGATGTACTTGGGAGGAGAAGAAGAAGAAAAAAAAAAACAGCCAGTACCACCTTCTTTTCACATCTAATCCACTGGTTTGCTCATCAGTCCTGTTATATGAAACAGCCTGCAGGTACGTTCTAGAAAACACTTCAGCCAAGCTTATTGAGATGAGTTTCCAACTGGAGGAGCCGGTGACCCGAGTCCCATTAGCAGGAAGAAAAATGGGACTCTTAAAAATGGTTAAGCATGAGATTTGTTCATGTTTTTGGTTTAATATACAGTGGGGTCCAAAAGTCCACACTGAAAGTCTGTGACTAAAACAAATCTTATTTAAAGTTTTAGGATGTTGAAATATTTAAAACAAAGAAATATTATGAAGTACAAAAAAGAAGAAAGACTTATGCTTCGGCATTGGATCTAGGTCACTAATCAAAATGTCAATGGCATGTCATTTTTCAGTTGTAATGAAACTAGTGGTCTTTTGGCCCCAACTGTACATGTTGTATATTACATAATGGGTAGTTACAGTACTGGCATCTGATTGGTCAATTCAACGTCAATTATGTCAAGAACTATAGGCCTGTTCACACCAAGGAAGATAACAATAACTCAATTTTTAATAATTGTTCCCCATTACAATAAGAAGTCTACATCACAGGTATAACGATAATGACAATGAGAAACAATATTGTTGGAACCACTTTCAAAATGTTTTTCCTGCTGATGAATGATAAAAACATACAGCCAAACAGAATCGACCCAACTCTAAAGAGCTTTTAAAGCACTAGACAACATAACTGCAGTGCATGCTTATAAGAATCAGCATGCTATCGTCCATTGGTGTGGACAATATTGTAGTTATTGTTACAGTTATCTTTAAAGTTATCGTTTTTGGTGTGAACAAGCCTTATATCTTTAAGCATAAGGATGCCACTTACTGAATTCTGATTTGCTAATAGTAGAATAGTATATAGTATAGTACTATAGGTGAATCAGTACAGATTATGTTATGGTAAACACACACATACATATACACATATATATACATATATACACATATATATATATATACTTACTTCTGTGAGATACTGTACATACATATATTTATATATATATATATACACACACACATATACATATGTGTGTGTGTGTGTTTAAATAAATTACATTTATCCTAATTTGGACTAACAAATATATTCCAGCAAATGACATCTGTGAACCTATGAAAGAAATGCTATTTAGCTTTTTTTTTTATTCAATTTTTGGAGTTTTTTCTGTTTTGGAAGTCTGATCAAAATGAGCCAAGAGGAAAATATTAATCACAAGTGATATTACTTACGGCCCACTAGTCACACATGGAAATGGAAGGTCAAGTTGAGAGCATTGCATTGCAGGATACAGTTTGCCACTCAGTGTGTCCTGCTGTATGGCTAAGTGTTTGGCAGCATAGTAAATCATTGGAGTATTTCATAAATAAAGAACATATTAATATAACAAAGTACACATACTGAAAAAGTAGTAAAGAAGTATGACTTTCTGCAAAGAGACTGAGCCCTGCATTGTAGTGCCTGGACGACTCATCAGTAAAATTGTTTCAGGTTAATAAGCCTTTAAAGGTAAAATTCACCCTGAAATGAAAATAGGCATCATTTGCTCTCCCTCAAGTTCTCCCAAACCTGTATGAGTTTCTTTCTTCTGCTGAAAACAAAAAGATATTTTGAAGAATGCTGGTAACCATACCATTGACAGTAGCCATCGTCTTCCATAGTATTTTCTTTCATACCATGGAAGTCAAGGGCTACTGTCAACTGTTTGCAACTTGAGGGAGAGCAAATGATGCCTATTTTCATTTTTGGGCAAACTATCCCTTTAAGCTTTACTTAATGCTTAACAGTAACAATTTTAGTAGTATTTATTATTATTAATAATATTTTATACTTTTTTTTTAATTAAATGTAATTCAGAAAGCCTTTTTAGCACTAAGAACCATCCACTATGCCAAATCATTTTCTATCGGTAACAGAAATTTGGTTACTTGTCTCCCAATTTTTGTGAACATGAACAGAAATTATGTGAGATTTGGTGTTTTTTTTTTTGTTTTGTTTTTTACAAACAAGATTAAGCCACATATGAAATTATTTTTATGGAACCAAAAACCGTGTATGCTGTCAGTCGGACAGGCTTTTATAAAAAAAAAAAAAAAAAAAAGCCAATTCTCATTCTCTGTTTCAGCAAGAGCTCCAGGTTTGTCTAATCCACGACTGTGAGCAAATATAAAGAGAGAATGGAATCAGCAGAGAGCAGGATAACCGCTAAGATATGCCTGTAACACAAACACGTTGTGCCTGTTACAAAACAAAAAGAAAAACACAAATGCAGACAGGTTTGTTTTTTCTGCTTTTTTTTCATACAGAAAGCCTGGATTCAAATACACAAGTGCTACAAGGAGGAAAAATTTCAAATGAATATCACAAGGAAAAATACAAAAAAAAAAATCAATAAGCATTTCCCCATTTTTACACTCCTCATTGGATGTCAATTTATTCGCCCAGTAAAATGAGACCAAACCAAGACCATCTGAACTACTCCATTTGGAAGCCAGGTTAGCTTGTGGGTCGTAAGTCAAAGTTCATGGCAAGTTCTATGTTTAAATTTCTCACGAAACAGTGGACAGTTCTGGACAAAGCTGTTTGTTGTCACACAGGATTCATAAAATCACACAGGAATCTACTGAACGCTGATGTCGTCATTACGAAGACACATGCTACCTATTGATGAGTTCAACAATAACAGAGTTTGTCCTCTATTCCTTTTCAGAGAAAAATCCCTCCATCCATGACTGTAAAGGGGAATGTCTATCGGCCGGTCACACAGTTTTAAAGGAGGGATGAAGCGGAGATGGAGAACCGGTTCACACAGTGAAGGAGAGCACACAATAGTGCCAGTGGGAAGAGTAATGTAAAAAGTCCAGTCTTAATCCAACCAACCAAAAGCTCAACCTTGATCCATCCGCCCACGCTCAAGAATCCTTGGTCCAACAGAATCACAGAAACTCTGGGATAGAAAACACTCCCCAACACTGAGAAACCCGATGGTAGGGCAGCAACAAAGAGGGTCCTCTGCGCTGGAGGGGTCTGTCTGGATAACGTGAAGGGAGGGGCAGGTCAAGAGCTGGTTTAGGCATCTAAAGGGACAGAGCTTGGGGGTGGGGGGGTGGGGGGGGGTTGTAAATCTAAAATAGCACTTCCCCCGCCCTTTTGTAGGCAGTTGTGTGAGTGTGTGTAGTGTGCGGGTTAGGTAATGGTAAGGGACAGCACTAAGATTGTTTGAGGCGTTTGCGAGGAGGGCCCAGGAAAGGGCACTGGGCGGAGGCCAGGGAACGATACGCCTCAGCAACCAGGTGAGGATGGGACGCCACCATTGACTTCCACCCTGAGGTCTCCATCACATCGGACGCATGGCTAGGAGGGAGAGAAAGAAAGAGAGAAACATTGAGGGCACAATCCTCTTCGCTGAGCTCAGCACCCCGAGGGCACTCGCACTGCACTATCACGCACACCAAAAAAGGCCTTTAATGACATTTACCCGGAGTGTGTTTGTGTGTGAGACGCTGACCTCCCTCTAACCCCACTATACTGTTGCCCCCAAACACTTGGCATTAATTGCAGCACTTGCTCGCAGTGTCGACAGCGGGCTTTGCGGGCAGATGCCCGTTCCACTTTCCCCAACGCTAAAAGGTCACCGCACGGTCAGCCATCCACAAAGAACAGGTTACAAACACAAGCTTTCCAAAATAACTTGGAAGTAAACAAGAGGGGGGGGGGAATGTGTATGAAAAAGCTTGTGTTTGTAAATGAGTCAGTGGAAAAGAATACAGACAAAAAAAAAATTTATCAAGCTTTCAAAGTTCGTTTGAAAGTGCTTGCTCAAAATGTATCCATTGCACTGGTATTAGAGGTCGACCGATTCATCGGTTTTGCCGATTAATCGGCTACTAGCCTGACAGGAGTAGCACTCACTAGTTGATGAAGTCGACAGCCTGTGTCTTCAGCTGGTCAGCGCTGTGCAGGTCGGCCAAGATCAGAATCTCTGCTGCGTTTTCCACAGACAGACTGGTGCACAAAGCATCTTCACACATCACCTTCAGCCGCTCTAGAGCATACTAAAGACAGAGAGATTGCACTTCAATAAAAATGTGTGTCTGTGAGCTTGTGTTGTCAAAACAAAGCAGATGTTGCATTGCTATTGGCAGATATTGGCTGTTTTAAAATGTGATTATCATTTTTGCTAGCTGCTGAAGCTTACGACACATGTACATTCTGGTCATTTTTTGTTGGCGTGTCTGCCAAGAAAATAAATGTGATGTGAATGCAATAGTGTGAAGAAAAAAAGAAATACGTTGTCATTAAATGTCAAAGACATTGACATTTAATAAAAAAATATAAATTTTTGTTCTTAGATGAGAAGAAAAAATGCTGTTTGGTATTTATACAGCTAAATGTGGTGCTTGTGTGCAGGGGCAGGCTGGGGCTAAAAAGCGGCCCTGGACTTTTTCGCACAGAGTGGCCCACCACACCATAAACCCACCAGCTCATTAGAGCTATTTTTAACACCACTTACTAACATACAAATATAACACAATACAAAAAAATATATATTTTTTAAAATTATTATAACTAACATTAATGAATGTCTGTCATACTTTACATTATAACTTGTCTTTCCTGGTGTATATGGCAATTTGTAAATAATATTTTTACACATCTCTTAAAGGGACAGTTTAATATCACTAAAGTTAAATGCCTACCATAATATCAGTCCATATAACAATGCTCTGCTCTAGAAGACTTGGAATGTAGTGCAGAATGTGGACTGTTTTTAGTGTGCCTTTCAATTTTCTTTTTTTTATGAAGAATGTTATGAAGATGAAAAATACAGTAAACTGTAATATGTGAAATATATAGAGCTACAATTTAAAATAGCTGTTTTCTATGCAAATATATGGCATACAATAATTTATTTCTGTGATCAAAGCTGAATTTTCAGCATAATTACTCTGGTCTTCAGTGTCACATGATCCTTCAGAAATCATTCTAATATGCTGATTTGCTCGAAAAACATTTCTGATTTTTATCACTGTTAAAAACAGTTGTGCTGCTTCATATTTTTGTGGAAAATGTGATACATCACCATTGTCTAAAATAAGATTTAAAATAATAATAATAATAATACTTTTATTCAACAAGGTTGCATTAAATTGATATAAGTGACAGTAAAAATATACTTATTACAAATTATTTATATATAAAAATGTTGTTCTTTAACTTTGTATTCAACAAATAATCCTGAAAAAGTTAGTGTCACAGTTTCCACAAAAATATTAAGAAACAAAAACGGTTTTCAGTATTGATAATAATAAGAACCATTATTAATAACAGCACAAATAATAATTGAAAATAATTAAGCAGCAAATCAGCATATTAGAATGATTTTTGAAAGACCATGTGACACTGAAGCCTGGAGTAATGACGCTGAAAATTCAGCTTTGATCACAGAAAAAAAAAAAAATTTAAAGCTGCAGTCCGTAAGTTTTGCCTCTTTGTCGCCATCTCTGTTTAAAACCTGCAATTGCAGCTGTGTGCGGAATTATCTTCCTTGCAAGGGTTGTGCGGCGGCACATGAATCTAATGTTTTGAGGAGTATGTGTGGCAGTCAGTCACCGCACCGGTGTGGATATTTACTGTACTTCGCAATCACAGATTCTAGCCTAAGTCTTGGAATATATCACCCAAATAAGAATTGTCACCGGATATTGTCATCTGAACAAGTAATAAGTCTGCCACGTTTGTTCTGACCAACTGAGGAAAAAAGCATTACAATAAATCGCGCTACCAATGGTGATTTAATCTAAAGATCGGTTAGCTTACGTATATCACATCAAACCGTGCAAATTATTATTATCGTTATACTTTATTCTCAAATTGTTAATGTTAACAACATCAGCATTACGTGACTATGTGAATATAGTGTGTGTATTAGCTTGTAGATTTCAACTTCTGTACAGTCTAATCTCTTAAACATTTTCTTAGACACGTGAAATTTCTGAAGAAATGTAACGATATACAAACGTATGCTGAAAACGGCTACATTAATGTTTCTATATACACTGTGGCAAACAATGTAACCTACCCGTACCACTCAAATAAGAAAACATTATTATAAGCTAACCGTTGTGAATCGGGCTAAAGTAAGGCGATAGTTTTGAACACTGGCTGGTTATGTACTTGCTCAAATAATGATTTTGGATCATTTTTAACCAAAAAAAGTTACGGACTGCAGCTTTAAACATTAAACCGTTAAAACATTTACATTAAAATATCTTTAATAGAAAAATAAAACTTTCCTAATCACGGCAAGTCTTCAGATTTACAATGTTCAAGAGTAAGTTTGAGAATTATATTTTTACAGTTTTTTGAAACATTTTCTTAGACACGTGAAATTTCTGAAGAAATGTAACGATATACAAACGTATGCTGAAAACGGCTACATTAATGTTTCTATATACACTGTGGCAAACAATGTAAATGGCATTAAAATCTGAGAAATTCGAAAAGGCCAGTAGGCCATGCAGTTTGCATGCCTGAAATTTATTGTCTGTCGTTAAACAATTTTTGTAAACCGTTGGCAAATATTGCTGAATTGTCTCATCATGTTTAGTTGTTTACATCTTACCTCAGCTCGCATTCAAATGCCGCGCAGCGCAGCTCAGCTCAGCTTCTGTGAACAGTAAATCCCGCCTTCTTCAATTTGATTGGTTAAAACATTTTGACATTGACGAGCGCTTTGAGCCAGAACGCGCTAAATTAATTAGAATGTTTGTCTCAAATGGGCCGCACGGGCCATTTGTCTGGGCCGATGGAGGGATAGGCTACGTATATTTACTGTAATTCATTCTTTACATTTACTGGGCCGGCCCACCGGGAAAACTCCCGGTGCTCCAGATGGCCAGACCGCCACTGCTTGTGTGCGAGCATTACTCACCTTGTCAGCAGCAGCGAGCAGGTCATCAGCCATCTTGTCCAGGTTGGGTGCTTTGCCAGTGTAGATGAAGAACATCATCTCTTTAAAGACCTCAGCCTCCACGTCGTTTATCTCAACTCGGTTCTAGACAACAAATCACATCAGAACCCTGTCAATCACACAGTCTCAGAACGTCAGGTCAGAAAACCCCCAAGACTCCTCAACTTCCACAGACTCTCTTTACACATGTGCTAATCAGCAATGCTTTATCTAAAACAGAGGCAAACAATGTTTGGAACTTGATGGATAAACCCAAAGTGAAGTATTATTATTATTATTATTATTATGTTGCTGTTGTTTTTGGTATTATTATTAAAATAATATAATAATGGGTCATTGTTGTAATTCTTTAATAACAATAGTAGTATCCATAATGATGATGATAATTAATATTTTTATTTTGTTGTCGTTATTAAAAAATATATAATATGTTGTTAATGTAATTATTGTATTAATAGTAATAATAGTATCAATAACAATAATAAAAAATAGCATCAATAATAATAATAATAATAATAAAATATTAATTAATATATCAACAGATTATAATAACTCATCCGCAGTTGACTATACTCTGAAAGCTGTGCGTGAGACGGAACAGAACGGAACGTGGAAAGTGAAGCTTACGCAGGCCTTAAAACAATCTAGAATTTATTCAACTCTGTGTCATTGAGCGCTTTTGGAGGTTTAAAATGTGATGTAATTGGAACTGATGCAGTTCAGGTTGTTGAAACTGCTGTAAAAGCATAACGTGTAATTGTGTCAGAGTCTGGCCTTTCCTCTTATGAGCTCCTGCGCTGTCCCTTGAGCGCCCTACACCAAACTCACACGACCACTGACCTCCACCGTATGAGAGCATATGCGCGCACAAAAGGACAGAGTCACTCAAAAAAGCAAATTAATGTATAGTTCAGAAAGCCTCATTCCCTTTCTGTTCCTGCCCTGATTAATGTTCCAGAATGAGTGCTGTGAGAGTTTCTCTCTTCTGTTCAAGGCTGCCGGAGCACAAGCGCTTTGTTGATTGTCGTGCTGGTAACAAAGGCTTTTCCGTCCCGGCCCGTCCATCACAGCTAAACCAATTAATCCAGCAACTGTTAGGAACTCCACCCCACCCGCAGACACAGAAACACAGCAAGGTCAAATGAAAAAGTTCACTCAAAAGCAAACAGAACTATTTATTAAAGGCTATTACAGAAAATAAAAGTCTGTGTAGCCTAAAGTCACAGGCTTTCTGTTTTACCTCCCTCCCCCTGCAGACTGCAGTTTTTGCTATGAATGAACTGTGGCACTTTTGTGTCAATATGAGTACCATCACCAAAAACTAGTAACAAATGTACCTAGGTAAAACTGAAGAGGCTCAGTCACTAAGAAAAGGAAAGTTTGTGGTGATGCTTTTGTTTATTCAAATCTATGACCAAAACTACAAAAGTACAGGTTGCCAAACATGAAAATTCGACAACTCTTTAGATTGAGGAACACTATTCACTAGTTCACTATTAACTAGTTGCTTATTAGCATGCATTTTACAAGCATATTGGCTGTTTATTAGTACTTAGCACATATTAATGCCTTATTCTGCATGACCATGTTCTAGACCCCTAACCCTACCCCATACCTAAACCTAACTACTACAACTATATAACTACTATCAATAAGCAGCAAATTAGGAGTTTACTGAGGGAAAACTCTTAGTTAATAGTGAATGCGTGTTCAATAATTTAAAGTATTACCGAAAATTCACTCATCATATAATTCCAAACATCACCATTCAAGTAAGTCAGTAAGATTTTAAGAAATGAATAATTTTATTCAGCAAGGACACATTAAATTGATCAACAGCGACAGTAAACATTTATAATGTTGCAAAATATTTCTATTTCAAATAAATGGCACTTTTAAACTTTCTATTCAAAGAATCCCCAAAAATAGTTTCCATGAAAATATTAAGCAGCACAACTGTTTTCAACATTAATAATTATAAGAAATGAGCACCAAATCATCATATTAGATGTTTCTGATGGATCATGTGACACTGAAGATTGGAATAATGACTGAAAATCCAGCTTTGCCATCACAGGAATAAATTACATTTTGCAATATATTTAAATAGAAAACATTATTCATTATTAAAACGTAATATTTTCACAATATTACAGTTTAACTGTATTTTTAATCAAAGAAATGCAGCCTTGGTGAGCATAAGAGACGTCTTTCAAAACCAACCAACCAAAAAAAAAAAAAAAACTTACTGACCTCTAACTTTCAAACAGTGGTGTATTTGACTTCTGTGGAACACAAAATTAGAGTGTTTTTTTTTTTGGGTCCATATAATTAGGGTTGGGTATCGAGTTCGATACTTTAGGCACCGACCGAATTGCCTCGATACCATCGAGTATCGAAAAACGTCTCGTCGTTCGGTACCAAATTTCGATACCTAAAGGGTTAATCTAATCAACGTCAGTAAGGCGCAGATCGATCAGTGTTTGACATCCGCGAGAGCGATGCGAAAACGTACGGAGCAGTCTGCTCGTGGTATCTTACTATAGCCTAATACACCGATAGGTCTGCACAGTCGGTCCGCGACTGTGACACTCAGAGATGTGGCTCACACGTGAGTATTTAGTGTGAATGCGTCCCAGCCCCCGTAGCTGTAAGAGTGGGGGGCTATGGGGGGCAAT